CCCTCCCCATCCCCCAAGCACAGCTCTGGGAGCAGTGGGAAAAAGCTGGGGTATTCCTTGGCTCTGAACCAAGTGCTGTTGCTTAGCAGGGCAAATTCCTGCCCAGCAGAATGGGGCAAAGGCCCTGCTGTCGTCCTGTGCTCCCTGAACCACTGTCCCCAGCCCCAGCAAGTGGCACAGAGCAATAAGGGGCAGCAGCTGCCAGAGTCCCTCAGGGGCTGGCCCCATCCCTAGGGGTTTGCACATGCACCAGGCCCAGATGTGCCTGGGAAACACATGAGCTACCTTGGCTTTACCCTCTGGTCACAGACAAGCTTGGCCCGGCAGCTAAATAGTGTCCGGGAGCCCAGGTGCAGGGAAGGGGGTGCAGGATGGGCTGTATCTTCCTAGAGCTTGCCAAGCCTCTGAGGGCCCCCCCATCCTGCATTTGGGACAATAGGGAAGGAGGATGCACCCTGGGCCATTCCTCCATACAGGTTTTTCTACACCATTTTGTTCTCCAGCCAAAGCCTGGTGGAGATGCCAAGCCCACGCTATAAATCCTGCATTGGAAACGCACTTTTCAGCAAGAGAGTGATTTGCCAACAGCCTCTCAGCCCCACTCTCTGCCTGTCCCAAGAGGCTGCTGGGTGCCAGCGAAGCCTGCATGGAGCGGGGACACAGGCAGTCCCAGCCACAACTGGGCTGGAAGATGGGAAGGCTGCCCGTGGCTGCTTGCAGGCACAGCTGACAGCACACAGACACTGAAAGCAGCCCAGGCACCGGGAACACCCATACACCCACTTTAATCCTGGCCCCAAGGTGGCTGGAGGCAGCTCAGAGCAGGGGGATGCGGGAGGGCTCCCAGAGGCGCCGGGCCAAATCACAGGCCTGCTGGACCACGAGCTCAGAGGGGATGATGCCCAGGTGTATGGTCAGCAGCTCGTAGCACTTCACTACCTCTGCCTGGTGGTTCTTGCTGTAGTAACGCAGCAGCTTCCTGGGGAAGAGAAGACAGGGGGCTTGACAGGCACAGTACAGACTGGCACCCCCTTTCTAACCTCTTTCTCCCCAGTAAATGTCTGGCAAGGACACAGCACCCATCTACTGGCAGGACCACAGGACCAGGCTGGGCAGATGGGCAGGTGCAACCCTGGTGACACCACAGCACTGGTACCACCCTGCAGCAACCTCCTGTTGAGGACAGCATCCATCACAGGGACACATGTGCCAGCACAGCCCCAGGCCCTGGTGCCAAACCGCAGGACTAGGGCCTACTCACCTGTAGTAGTCTCCTGCCAGCATCCCAATGGGAGCGGAATCATCGGAGAGAACTGGCACCTCCATCACTTCCAGCTTGTAGCCCTGGGGAGAGGTGACAGCAGTGGGCAGAAGCCCTCAGGAAAGGGACTGCCGAGGAGCTGGAGCTGGCTGGGCCTTCAGCCCTGCTTCCTGACCCCAGAAGATGCCAGTGGAGGGGGACTCAGCCCCTCCTGGTCCCACATACCAGCTCGTTCTCAAACCAGAGGAAGTAGGAGCAGCAGTAGTCACCATCCTGCAGCACGAGAGTTGTGTAGCCCTTCTGTAGGTAGCGTCGGGCCAATGTGATCAGAGACCAGACCTGGGGGACAAGGGGTGCCTGCAGCCTGAGCAAAAAACCCTCCAACTGTCATCACCTCCTGTGGTCCCCATCCCACCCCTAGCCCCATGGGCAGTACCTTCTTCTTGATGAAGGTGGCCAGGGTGCCCTTGCCCAGCTCTGAGCCAGACTCCTCTGTCATGCTGAGCGACGGTGCCATCATCTGTCCAGCTGTGCGGTCCACATAGATGAAGTGCACCAAGCCAGGAAAGTCCTCCAGGTACGTGGGGTGGGGTTAAGGGTGTCCAACAACTTTGGTGCCCTTCCATAACAGCCCCCGAGCCCTGGGGAAACCATCTTCACCCACCACACTCCTCCCCTTGAGCCCAGTGCTGGGGAGGACAGGGTTCTACTCCCACCTCATCTACCCCCTTAAGGACCCCTCCTCGCCAGGCTGGGCTCCCAAACGCAGGGACGGGTATGACACCATGGTGATATTGCGCTTGCTCTTCACGAGCAGAAAGTCCCGCCAGTCCAGCAGCTTTTCCCTGCAGAGAGGAGGCACAGTGAGACGCTGAGACCCTTCAAAGCCCCAGCACAGCTGGGTGTGGGGCAGGCCCCCAAGGATGCCAGCCAATCCCACATACTGACCTCATCAGCTTCTGGGCACGGTCCAGCAGCCCCTGGGACAGGCTGTGGCTGGTGGAGGCCAGGAAGAGCTGGCGATACACGGAGCAGAGCTGCCGCTTCATGTTGGCCACTGCCTGCAGCAGCCTGAGCCGGGAGACATGGATGGCGCTGGCTGGTCCCTGGGTCCCCAGTGCCAGAGGGATAGCCGTGCAACCCTGCGAGAGCAGCCCACCTGCACCAGAGACTTTCCCTGGCCACCCCATACTCACTCCAGGGAGCTCCCAGGCTCACTCCGAGAAAATATCTTGTTCTTGAAGTCCACCCAGGTGTTCTGCAACTAGAAAGAGACAGGGCTCAGCATCAGGCTCTGGGGACAGTACGACAGGGTCCTTGCGTCCCTACTCCCACCTGGATGTCCTGCCCGCCCAGCTTCTTCACAAACTTGTCCATGCGCTGCCGCAGCTCAGCCAGGAATGGGTAGGAGCGTGGGGCTCCCACCTCTGGCCCCTCTTCCAGCTTCTTCTCTAGCACCAAGAAACCATCCAGCAACTGGTACAAGGTGATGGCCACCTGAGTTGTAGGGCCCTGCCAGGGAGCGGAGAGGTGGGTCAGCCAGGAACCCAGCCCAACATCATGTCCCTCACCTTGGAGGTAGCTCACCTTGGTCAGAAGGACGAGGGAGATGCCTGGCCAGAGCGGGAGGCAGTGCATCGTGTGTGGCAGCAATGGACAGTAACCTTCCCGCAGGTTGGCATCCAGGAAGATCCTTCTGGGGTTTGAAGCTTCAGGGACCAGAGGCCCCAAGGTCTGGAGCAAGTCCTCTGCCATCTGGGGAGAGAGGGGAGATGCTCAGACCCTGCAGGTATGGGACAGCACACACCAACCCAGGACACTCTGGAGGGACACAGCAATGTCCTGAAACCTGCAACTGGGCACAATTAAACCAAGAGAGCTGGAGGAGCCACGCAGCAAAACACCAGCAGCAAGAGAAGTGTCCACTGATGCCTAAAGAGCACCAGATAGAGGGGATGCCGCTTACAAAGACACAGGTTGTAAATGCCTCATGTCAAGGCTAGCACTTGCTAGCAGAGTGTGTGAGGCTCTGCAGCATCCGTCAGGGAAGCAGCCCAGAAAGCCCAGAGGCAGCAGAGGGAGACACAAGACTGCTCTGAGGCAGCCCCGGCTCCTCAGTGCTGACAGCTCTGGACAGGGAGGCTGTAAGCAATGCCTCAGAAAGGGTGGTCAGAGCTGTTGCAGTTATGCACAACCTGGGGGACACAGGGAACACCCCCAGCCCTAGACCCTGGGGCCTCCTCAACAGCAGCACAGCAATAGATGAGTGATGAGGACCAGAGATGGCAAAGAGCACCAGGACAGACTGAGATGTGGAGCCAGGAGGGACTGCAGAACCCCTTGCTCACCTGGACGTCCGCAACATCTGCCTCCCCGGTGCTCAGCGTCTCAGCGCCCTCTGACGAGCTCTCGCTGCCTGCAGGGAGCACAGCAGGTCGACCTCCCCACCAGCCCCCCATGCAGCCCTACTGCCTCCGTGGTGTTGGGGGGCTTGGGGCAGGGCTGCTGCCCCATCGGGCACTCACCTACGCTGTGCCCACCTGGTGAGGGCTCAGGTGTGTAGTAAACCTCGGGCACGGAGGCATCAGTGTCCTGCTGGTAAGAATGGCTGGGTCAGCGCTGGGAGTGATGCAGGCAGCCCAACCAGCGTCCTGCCCTGCAGTTCCTGATCCCAGGGACTCACTTGGTCATCTGAGTCCTTCTCTGCAGCTCCATGGGAGCCAGGGCTGCTCACAGCGATGCTCTCGCTTCTCTTGGGTCCCTGGGGGAGCAACTTCCCTGCTGTTGGCTTCCAAAGAGGGAAAAAAAATTAAGCCCTGGCTGCCAACACCTCACCCCATGGGGGCACTGTGACCCAGTGCTCCCCACACCCTGTTCTGGAGCACCTGGGGGCCAAACTCCTCAGTGCTCTGGCTGGGGTACAGGTCCTGCACCAGGAGGATGAGGATGAGCAGGTCGGCAGGACGGATGGAGCTGGCATTGCGGCTGTGGGCCATAGAAGGGAAGGGATTAAGCCCTGGCTGCCAACACCTCACCCCATGGGGGCACTGTGACCCAGTGCTCCCCACACCCTGTTCTGGAGCACCTGGGGGCCAAACTCCTCAGTGCTCTGGCTGGGGTACAGGTCCTGCACCAGGAGGATGAGGATGAGCAGGTCGGCAGGACGGATGGAGCTGGCATTGCGGCTGTGGGCCATAGAAGGGAAGGGTCAGCCAGGAGGGTGCGTGGCTTCCTGGGAGGGTGGCGGGGCCAGGCGCACCTGGAGTAGAAGGCCAGCAGCTTGGTGTCCACCAGAAGGAAGGCATGGCCCACCTCGTCCCCACCACGCTCAGGGCTGGTGTTGATGTACTGCACCACCTGCCGCTCCAGGAACTCGATGCACTGCTCACACAACTGAGGGTGGATCAGCCGCTCCACGGCCTGGGGTGCAGGCAGGGGATAAGGCTGCTAAGTCCCCTCCAGACTCATCCACACAGTCCCTGAGCTGCTCCGTACCTCCAGGAACCACTGCTATGGGGACCTGCCCCACAGTCCCCAGCTCAGAGCCCTTCCCTGCACCCTGGCACTCCACACAGCCTTGCACCTCTGGGATGCCTCAAAGGTGAGGGACAGCCCAGGGCATGGTACCTCCACTGCAAAGCTCTGGTCCACCTCTCGCAGGCAGATGTAGGTCTCCAACAGGCCCCGCAGCAGGCTCCAGACACGTTCTCGCTGCTCCGAATCGGCTGGACGCAACCTGCAATGGCCACAGAGTGTGAGCTGAGAGCTGGCTGTCACCTCTCCAGGGGAACGGGCATGTCCAAACCCAGCTGCAGTCCAGCAGGCAGGGGGTCATGCTGCAAAGTGGTGTTCCAGCTTGGAGACACCCACTCCCACCCCCTCAGGGCTGCATGAAGGCACCACTTGGCAGCTGCCCTGGCACCCTGGCCATGCCCGCTCACTCCTTGCGGATGAGGTGGACGTCGAGCGTGACAAGGCCACAGTGAGCCTCCACCAAGCGCCGCAGCACGAACAGAGTCCGGCGCAGGTCATCTTCGCTCTCTGTCTCGTCACCGTTCACCGCGATGTACAGGCAGTCCCCAAACTACAACCAGCAGCACGGTCAGGTCGGGGCTAGCCAGGGCCCCCCGGGGCCCTAGTGCCGGGGCCGCCCCTACCATATGCAGGACGTGGAGGTGTCGTCCGTGCTCGGTGGCAAAGCAGGTGTAGGTGTCGGCGAGCTTCTCCAGCAGCGCCGCACAGGAGATGATGAGGGGGGCGAACAGCGTGTTGAGGCTGTCCTCCAGCGCCGGGCCCTGGACACACGCCCCTGGGTCAGTGCCCACGCACGACCACGCACCTCCTCCCCGCACCCGTACCTTCCCGTCCCGCCCCACCTG